TGTAGTTAAGGATGTGACGAATACGAATACCAGTGTAAATTTGCTTTAGCCCGATATTCTGATTGCTATTAGAAAATTATTAGTATCACGTGGGTGTTTAATGTTTCCCTGACTCCATCTATCCAGGTCTTTCTCGGTCGCCCTCTAGCCTTGTTGCCACCCGGGCAAAATTCAAAATTTCCTTCCAACTGAAAATATTAGGTGTGTCCCGCGCGCTCATATGACCTTATGCAGTTGCGAGCGCCGTAAAACCCTCTCCTTATGCAGTTGCGAGCGCCGTAAAACACTCTACTATAAAAAAAACAACAACAAAAGGTGCTGTAAAAGATCACATTCATTTTGCCACTCATCGCGAGAACGTATTATCCAATTTCATTCGAATGTGTGGCATAGGGAATTTGAACCTTTCTGTTTACATGAAGGCAAAAGTTCACAGTATCATGACATTCCTGGCCAGCAACAGGATTAGGCAAAGTCAGACGTCAGTGTTTCAAGTACGCTGGACGCTGAACAGGTCTTGATTCATTTCTGCAAATTATATTTCGTTGGTCAGCTTGTCAGATGTACTAAACTCGAAATGTTGAGAAATTTTATCTTTTTTGCAAATTCTTAATCTGTAGTATCGATTGCATGTGCTCAAGAAAATGTTTGGTCAAGAATCAAATTCTAAATGTTGAAAAAAAAATTCCCAGCAAGAACAGATAAATAATGTAGAGATACAATTGTTACGAAAATGAAACAGATTTGTTTTTCTCTCTCCTGAAATGTTTCGTCTTCGGGACTTCATACATCTGAACAGCTTGCTGACAATTTACAGTGCTGTCCCCCAGGTTCGTTCCAGTCGGTGCGGGTGTCCTTGCCCATGGACATCCTGGTGGACGTGGAGGAGTCTGTGCCGATGTTTGACCTGTACAACTCGCTCAGCGACGCTGTGCTCAGACAGGTCAACACTCTCTTCAGCTGTCTCAACGTGTTCACAAAGGTGAAGAGAAAAATGGAAAAAAATGCGGTATTATGTAGGTTTACCGCCCTTTGTATTGCAACACTGTAGGGTTTGTTTAAGAGGTGGCTTAAATATGAAGATATAGCTGTAACGGCTCTTTTTGTTTTGGATTTTTTAAATTTGGTTTTGTTTTTCTATTTTGAGGGAGGAGAATAGTATTCAGCTCGTGGATATGAATCGGGTACTCTGGTGTGGTTTGCTCCCTCTTTCCTACAAAAAAGCTATCATCCTTCTCTCTCTCTCCTCTTTTTTAGTCTTTGTTACCCACTTGTAACACCTCTAATCTTCGGCACTTATATGACCTTATTGTGTTGCAAGTGTTGTAAAACACTTATTAAAACTAAAAAGCCCCTTGCAATGCAACACCGTAGGGTTATTTAACAGGCGGCAGAAATGAGAAGATATGGACTGAATATGCTGTTTTTGTTTTAATCTTTTGATTTGGTTTTGTTTTTCTATTTTGGGTGGAGGGGGGTGGTCGCTCGTTACTGGAAGTCCTTCCTTATGACACCCACAAAAGCTCTTTTGGGGGTGGGGGGTTGCGCAAAATTTTCAGACAATCTGGTTGAGGCTCACATGCAGGTCTATTTAGTGGAATTTAATTATTTGTTTCCCTAGCCTCGTCTGCCTGTGTCAATACTTTTGAGGGCCTCAACAGAAGCAAACAGTGAGAATCAGTATGCACCGATAATCAGACACCAAACTGGTAAGATTTTATGCTTTTGTTGATGTGTGTGTGTGTGTGTATGTGCTTTTGTGTTTGTCTGATGGCTTGTACAACTTTGCAATAAGTCAAAAACTCACTCTCCCCCTCCCTTCTATTTCTCCCGATCTTAGCAGAGTTAAGTTTTGAATCAGCAAGGAGTTTAATTGTGCTCAAAGAGGAGTACATTGCATACTGTGGCTCAACAAAACACATGTTTTGTGGCGTCGGTGGCCTAGTGGTTAGGCTCTCGGACTCGCAACCGTAAGGTCGTGGGTTCGACGGCGTTGTGTCCTTGGGAAAGGCACTTTGCACAAATTTTCCTCACTTCACCGAGGTGAAAATGGGTACCCAGCTATAGACAGTGAAAGATCTTGTCAGTCTGATAGTGTTTGAGCGCGTGAAATCCGCAGCTTGCACTGTATGCTTCCTCGGAAGCTGAGAATGTTTCTGAGTGTTCTCAGAGGGTCTGCTGGGGTAATAATAGCTGTAAAGCGCATAGAGCATGCTCTTGAGCATGGATATGCGCTATATAAATGCAATTATTATTATTATGTTCTTTTGACACATTTTGTATTGTTAGTTTCCCTTTTTCTTTCACAAAAGATGCTCCCCCGGGGCAGTGCCACTGACTGTAGTGTCTTTAGGCCATTCCCAAAGGGGGGACATATCTCGTTCAAGCATAGTAAAATTGTAAATGGGCTGACTCATGTCACGCTCATAACTGTGCCTGATGTACAACAGGGAACTGCTGCTTTTTCTCTCCTGATCCTTACTATTGTCATTTTCCTCTGCTTCTTTTGTGTCTTTGTCACTCTCTTGTGACCTGCTATTTTGGGGTGCCTTGATAGTCGAAGCAGACCTTGTGCTGTTGAAGCTAGAGAGGTGAGCTGTCTAAGTCTGATTCCCTGTAAAGACTTCTCTGTTGACACCCACCCCATGGCGCTCATATGACCTTATGCAGTTGCGAGCGCCGTAAAACCCTCTACTATAAAAAAAACAACAACAAAAGGTGCTGTAAAAGATCACATTCATTTTGCCACTCATCGCGAGAACGTATTATCCAATTTCATTCGAATGTGTGGCATAGGGAATTTGAACCTTTCTGTTTACATGAAGGCAAAAGTTCACAGTATCATGACATTCCTGGCCAGCAACAGGATTAGGCAAAGTCAGACGTCAGTGTTTCAAGTACGCTGGACGCTGAACAGGTCTTGATTCATTTCTGCAAATTATATTTCGTTGGTCAGCTTGTCAGATGTACTAAACTCGAAATGTTGAGAAATTTTATCTTTTTTGCAAATTCTTAATCTGTAGTATCGATTGCATGTGCTCAAGAAAATGTTTGGTCAAGAATCAAATTCTAAATGTTGAAAAAAAAATTCCCAGCAAGAACAGATAAATAATGTAGAGATACAATTGTTACGAAAATGAAACAGATTTGTTTTTCTCTCTCCTGAAATGTTTCGTCTTCGGGACTTCATACATCTGAACAGCTTGCTGACAATTTACAGTGCTGTCCCCCAGGTTCGTTCCAGTCGGTGCGGGTGTCCTTGCCCATGGACATCCTGGTGGACGTGGAGGAGTCTGTGCCGATGTTTGACCTGTACAACTCGCTCAGCGACGCTGTGCTCAGACAGGTCAACACTCTCTTCAGCTGTCTCAACGTGTTCACAAAGGTGAAGAGAAAAATGGAAAAAAATGCGGTATTATGTAGGTTTACCGCCCCTTGTATTGCAACACTGTAGGGTTTGTTTAAGAGGTGGCTTAAATATGAAGATATAGCTGTAACGGCTCTTTTTGTTTTGGATTTTTTAAATTTGGTTTTGTTTTTCTATTTTGAGGGAGGAGAATAGTATTCAGCTCGTGGATATGAATCGGGTACTCTGGTGTGGTTTGCTCCCTCTTTCCTACAAAAAAGCTATCATCCTTCTCTCTCCTCTTTTTTAGTCTTTGTTACCCACTTGTAACACCTCTAATCTTCGGCACTTATATGACCTTATTGTGTTGCAAGTGTTGTAAAACACTTATTAAAACTAAAAAGCCCCTTGCAATGCAACACCGTAGGGTTATTTAACAGGCGGCAGAAATGAGAAGATATGGACTGAATATGCTGTTTTTGTTTTAATCTTTTGATTTGGTTTTGTTTTTCTATTTTGGGTGGAGGGGGATAGTTGCTGGTTTCAGCTGGTGGGTGGTTGGCGGGTATACTCTGGTGGGGTTTGCTCCTTCTTTCCTATCAAATGTTTATCATCCTTCTCTCTTCTTTCCTCTCGGCTCCTGATTCTTTCTGCAGGCTTTCTACTGCTTCTTTCTGCAGGCTTTCTACTGCTACTCCTTCCGCTTCTTCTTACTGCTGTCTTTCAGCCACACCCCTGATCTTCTGGTAGGAACGATCTTCACCTAGCCTTCTTGGACAAGGGCGAAAAGTCTCGGAGGGCTCGTGTGCAAGTTGCGCACGTTAAAGATCCCTTGGTGGTCCAAAATCGATAAGAGTAGGCTTCGGCCGCCACCCGGGCAAAATTCAAAATTTCCTTCCAACTGAAAATATTAGGTGTGTCCCGCGCGCTCATATGACCTTATGCAGTTGCGAGCGCTGTAAAACATTTTACAAAAACAAAAAAATTATCTCTTCTCCTACTTCTCTTTCTATGTTACTCTCAATCTTCAGCAGCACTTGTGAGACCTATTTGTGTTGCGAGGGCTGTAAGAAAATCTTACTGAAACAAAACTAAAGCACGAGGTTCTACTGAACCACAGGTCACACCACTTTGATCAGTCTAGAACCAGTACCTCAGACGGGGCACTCGATTGGTTGGAAATGTATCTGTTTTAAGTTAAACAAACACTGTGGGGCCCATTTGGAATCAAACCTCGATTGCTTCTTCTTTCCTATCAAACGTCTATCATCCTTATCTCCCCTTCTTCTTTTTTATGTTTGTTACTCTCTTGTAACACCTCTAATCTTTTGGCGCTCTTACGACCTTATGCAGTTGCGAGTGCTGTAAAACCTCTACTAAAACTAAACCGCGAACATCTTGGAGTAGATAGTGTCAAGTTTGGTAAAAGCTTATGAAAGGTCAACTTTATTTTGGTGTAATCTGTGGTGGCTGAGCAGAAGAACCAGCAATTCTTCAGGTACGAAAATTTCCTAATTTTTTAACATCAAGGTCAGTGTTAGTAGGTTTTTCATCTAATTGTTAGTGTGCCTGTTTGTTGGTCTGTTTGACTCTCTGTCTCCATGTCTGATCTTTAGCTTTGTTGTTTTTGTTGGTATGTCTGTGTTTACTTTTCTCTTGCTTTAAGTGACTTTTATTGTGTCCATGTGCTTCTCTTTGCCCACGCAAGCATGTCTGTCTGTCTGTCTCTCTGTCTGTCTGTCTGTCTGTCTGTCTCTCTGTCTTTTTCTCTGCTTGTCTCTCCACTGTGTGTGTGTGTGTGTGTGTGTGTCCCTCTGATGTTATGAGCCTTGGTTTGTTTGTTCTTTCTCTGCATTCCTCCCGGGGCAGTACCTCTGACTGAAGTGTCTTTAGGCCATTCCAAAAGGGGGGACATTTCTCGTTCAAGCACAGTAAAATTGTAAATGGGCTGATTCATGTCACGCTCATAACTGTGCCTGATCTACAACAGGGAACTGCTGCGTTTTCTTTCCTAGTCCTTACTATTGTCATTTTCTTCTACTTCTTTTGTATGTTTGTCACTCTCTTGTGGCCTGCTATTTCCGGGGTGCCTTGATAGTCGAAGCAGACCTTGTGCTGTTGAAGCTTGAGAGGTGAGCAGAGTAAATCTGATTCTCTGTAAGGACTTCTCTGTTGAAACCCACCCCTTGGCACTCATATGACCTTATGCAGTTGCGAGCGCCGTAAAACCCTCTACTATTAAAAAAAAAAATTTCTCTGCATGCCTCTCCTCTGTGTAAGTGTGAATGTTTGTGCGTGTGTGTGTGTGTGTGTGTATGTATGTTCACTGATGTGATGTTTGTTTGTTTGTCTCCACCTCACAGAATAACAAGCTGCTTTCCCCAGAAGTTTTTCATTTCCACCCGTCTGTGCTGGACTCCCCCGTCACAATTGTTTACCCTCGAGGCTTGTCGGACGATGAGTTAGGTACGTACCTTTGCTCGCCTGTTAGTCTTCGGGTTTACTTATGTTCTGTGAAAATGATTAACCTGTTGGTTTCTGTGTTTACTTATGTTCTGTGAAAATGATTAACCTGTTAGTTTCTGTGTTTACTTACATATCATAAAAATGATTAATCGGTTGGTTTCCGTATTTACTTACGTATTATGAAAATAATTAACTCTGTTAGTTTCTGCGTTTACTTACGTATCATGAAAATGATTAACTGGTTAGTTTCCATGTCTGCTTGTGTACATGAAAAAATGATGAAACATTTCTTTTGTGTTTGTTACTCTCTTGTAACACCTCTAATCTCCGGACCCCCTGGGGCAGTGTCACTGACTGTAGTGTCTTTAGGCCATTCACAAATTCGGGACATTTCTCGTTCAAGCACAGTAGAATTGTAAATGGGCTGAGTCATCTTGTCATGCTCATAATTGTGCCTGATCTGCAACAGGGAACCGCTGCTTTTTCTTTCCTAATCCTTTCTATTGTCATTTTCCTCTACTTCTTTTGTATGTTTGTCACACTCTTGTGACCTGCTATATCCGGGGTGCCTTAATAGTCGAAGCAGACCTTGTGCTGTTGAAGCTAGAGAGGTGAGCAGAGTAAGTCTGATTCTCTGTAAGGACTTCTCTGTTGAAACCCACCCCTTGGCGCTCATATGACCTTATGCAGTTGCGAGCGCCGTAAAACCCTCTACTAATGAAAAAAAAATTAATCTCTGGCACTTATATGATCTTTTTGTGTTGTTTCTGTCTGTCTGTCTGTCTGACATTTTCCCAGCCCTAAATGACCATTATTGTGTCGATGTGCTTCTCTTTCCTCCAACAATCAAATACTCAAACAATTATTGTTTTAGTTACTAGAGAGTAAAAGTTTCTCATGTTCTGCAGAGGAGGAACGGAAGATTCTGCACAAGCACCTGTGTCTGCCCATGGACCGACCGTTGCTACGCCGCGGGGCTTCGGGCCTCTTCCTGTCTTCCAGCGCCCCCGGGGGCTACCTACTCAACACACACCTGGGCTTGTCCGACCCCCCAGGTGAGGCGCCGTAAAGCACTTACCCAAAAAAAATTTTTTTTTAATTGTATGACTTTACTGTGTTGGAAGTGCCGTAAAAAGTTTACTAAAACTAATCTTGCATGCTCATGACCTCATGCAGCTGCGAACACGGTAAAACACTTATCCCCCTCAAAAAAACCCAAAGAAAAAAATGATATGACCCCGCTGTGTTGGAAGTGCCGTAAAACGTTTATTAAAACATAATAGCTGTTGTGTGAACTTGCTTTGACCTCTGTGTGTCCCTGTGGACGGTTGGCGGGTACTCTGGTGTGGCTTGCTCCTTCTTTCCTACCAAACATCTATCGTCCTGATCTCTCCTCCTTCTTTTTAGTGTTTGTTACTCTCTTGTAACACCTCTAATCTTCTGCTCTTATATGACTTTATTGTGTTGCAAGTGCCGTAAAACTCTTACTAAAACTAACATATGGCCACCAACTGATAATGTTTAATGTGTTCTGCATGCTCATATGTCCTCATGCAGTTGCGAACGCCATAAAACGCTTGCCAAACCGCCCCCCCCCCCCCAAAAAAAACCCAAACAAACAAAAAAACAATTTATATGACCTTACTGTGTTGGAAGTGATTTAAAACACTAATTACTAAAACTAAACTCTGTGTGTCGGCAGTGAAGGGAGGCACCGTGTCGACGGTGGTGGGCTACTACAGCTACCACCACTACATGCAGGACAAGTTTGACGACGACAAGTGGGGCTGCGCCTACCGATCCCTCCAGACGCTCATCTCCTGGTTCCGCTACCAGGGGTACACGGACCGGAACATCCCCACACACAGAGAGATACAGAAGGTAGTGGGACTGTACTGTGCTGTGTGCTTACCGTTAAGTTGAGATTTGGTTTCAGAATGCTTTAAGGTCTGCTGGAGTAATAATAATATGTGAGGCAGCGTGGTGGAATCAGGCTCTCGTCAAAATAGTCAAAGTGAAGAAACTTGCTTTTTTCTGTTGGTTTGTGAATTTTTATAAAATTTTTGTTTTTTGGGTCAACACCTTTCTTGTCCATTAAAGAACTCATTTCTGTGTGGATTTTTCTGAAAAACGTTGATTAAAGGCACAAAAAAAGTACATTTTCAGTTACCACGGACTCTTAAGCTAAGGAAATAACTAATCTTTGGCGGCCATTTTCTCACTGATTTTACCTCTGAAAACAGGTGACCGCCACCTCCTTCATTCGCAAATATCTCGACTTGTATTCAAGATCAATGGATATTTTTTTCATCGTAATAAACGCAAGTGAACAAGCTTTAAGATGATGCCAATAACTCTACATGCCCAAAAATTGACGAGAGCCTGATTCCACCTCGCTGCCTCACATATAGTCCTAAAGTGCGTGGAGCTTGCAGTTGAGCGGGAATTTGCACTATACAAGTGCTTTCTACCATAATTATTATTATGGTTGGTTTAGTCGTTAGGCTGTTGGGCTCTCAACTGTTAGGTCATGGGTTTGAATCCCAGCTGGGGCCCAAAATTTTGTCCTTGAGAAAAGCACTTTACGCAAATTTTCCCCACACTTTACCCGGGTATAGACAGAAAAAGATAATCACCTGGATAAACAACTACTTTCCATTCCCTCCCCCCCCCCACCCTTGCATTTTTTTCCATTATCATACCGACACTGCCCTAGACGTCCACCGGTCCAAGACAACAACTTTTCTCCTCAACAATAAGTGGCTGTCTTGGGGACTATTTCCATTTTATAAATCAAGATAAGGGCAACTGTTTATTATTATTATTATTATTTTATTTTTTTTTTTTTCAGGCTTTGGTTGAGATTGGGGACAAGGAGGAGAAGTTTGTGGGGAGCAGACAGTGGATTGGCTCGTTTGAAGTGAGCTTCGTGCTGGATCATCTTCTGGGGGTGAGTACTGTTACTCTGATTATCGTTCTCCACTTTTCATGTGTTATTGTTCAGTATCATGACAGACAATCAAGGGGGGCTCTCGTGGCTGAGAGGTTAAGGTGTTCACCTCTCATTCAATAGGTCCCGGGTTCTAATCTGTATTGCAACGGAAAGGTTTCCTCTCTAAAATGTTTTCCTTTTAAATCCTTTCCTGCTCTCTAAAAATGTTCTGTGGTCTGCTTTCATCTCCACTTTCTGCCCCCATCCCCTCACCTCCTTTGCCCCCTCCTCTGGGCTCCTGACTCTGTCTGCAGCCTTTCTACTGCTTCTTCTTGGCTTCTTCACAAGGGATCAGTGGCTGAGTGAATGGGCAATGTGCAAGGCGGGGATATTAACATGTTCTTATGCACAGTAGAATTGTAAAAGGGCTAATTTATCAATGTCATGCTCATACTGTGCCAAAATAACATAGGGGGAACTGCTGCTTCTTCTTTCCTCATCCTTACTATCGTTATTTTTCCTTTACTTCTTATGTATGTTTGTCACTCTCTTGTGAACTGCTCCTTCCGGTGTGCCTTGATAGTCGAAGCAGACTTTGTGCTGTTGAGGCTAGAGAGGTGAGCAGAGTAAGCCTGATTCCCCGTTTGGACTTCTCTGTTGATTGACATCCACCCCTTAGCATTCATATGACCTTACACAGTTGCGAGAGCTGTAAAACCTTACTAAAACTAAAACATATGTACTAGAATTAAACTGTAATAGCTAGATCCTGTTTGTCTTCTGGTCTCAGGTGACGAGCAAATTCATCAGCGTGAACTCTGGCTCGGAGTTATCCAGCACGGGTCAACAGCTGGCCCACCATTTCCAGACGCAAGGGACGCCCGTCATGATCGGTAACCTTGCTACCCACCTCAGAATTACAAAGTTCTATCTGAAATTTTTTGGCCGTTTTGAGTAACTTAATAAATGTGGGTGGTTGGTGGGTGCTCTGGTGTGGTTTGCTTCTTCTTTCCTATCAAACATCTATCATCCTTATCTCCCCGCCTTCTTTTTTATATTTGTTACTGTCTTGTAACACCTCTAATCTTCTGGCGCTCATATGACCTTATGCTGTTGCGAGCGCTGTAAAACTTCTATTAAAACTAAACTAATCGTTATTAAGTCAATATGCTTCTCTTTACCCACACAGTTTAATCGTTATTGTGTCAATGTGTGTCGTCTCTTTCCTCCGACACCCGACCGTGTCCTGGTCCTCAGGCGGCGGTGTCCTGGCTCACACCATCCTGGGCGTGTCCTACAGCGAGCTGACCGGGGACATCAGCTTCCTCATCCTTGACCCGCACTACACCGGGGGGGAGGACCTACGCACCATCCACGACAAGGTAGCTCAATGTTTGGGTTGTCCTCTTTTTCTTCTTTCTTTTCCCCTCAAAATGTAGGTGTTTTTATAGCCACCGCCCCCCCCCCCCCCCCCCCCCCCCCCCCGAACTAGTGTTTGTAGTTCAGTGTAGCAGTTCATTTTAGGGATTTTTATTGGGGGGGGGGGTTGAGGGGGGAGGAGGGATTTTTGTCCCATGTCCCGCTTTAATGCCGGACATTTGTAAGTCACCTAGAAAATATGTTAACTGGTGCCAGTAGTAACTGTTATGCTTCTAATAAAACAAACAGAAAACAACATCTGAAAAAAGCAAGAAAACAGTTACATTGTTTGGAAATAGATGATGAATGTTATGATGACAATGGTGTTGACCAAATTGTAGTTATATGTTCTTTTTTTTCTTTTTTCTTTAACCTACACAACATTTTTCTGCCTGTCTTACTTATCCCATCTCTAGATATAAACATATCGTGTCGAAGGGCTTCTTCGTTAACTTCGTTAAAAAAATGTTTCGTTCTGTGTCTTTTTCTCCAGGGCTGGTGCGGCTGGAAAGACATGAACTTCTGGAACCAGACGGCTCACTACAACATGTGCCTTCCACAGCGGCCGGCCTGCGTCTGAGGAATGGACAGATGGATGGAAGGGCACTCGAGATGAGAGGATGCCACAACGCATCCAGACCTGCCAAAAATCCTCCATGAAAATCAGAGCCTTCCGATTTTTTATTTTGAAAAAAAAAAAGATTTGGCCTGTTGAAGAACCCTGTTCAGATCTGCATAAAATCCCGATTTTTTTTCTTCTTCTGGAATTCTGTTTCTATCGGTCAAACACAACTCATCGTAAATGATGTGAAAATACACAAGTTTACTCGGGTTTAATTGCGGATTTTTGCGATACGCACGCGTTTATTTGCCGCAGTCGGTTTGAAATGTAATCTTAATCTACAGAGGTTCTGGAGACTCTGTTTTGTTTCCCCCTCAAACTCCAAATTTTTGGGAGCATTCTGAGAAAAACTGTTTTTTTTGGTTGGCACGAAGTGGTTGGCAGGTTTCATATGTCTAATGAAAGGTCGGATCAGATTATAACAGAGATGAGAGGATGGTGAAGATAATTATAGGGACGAGGTGATAGATGTGAACAGTGAGATTATATCACAAAGTCTCTGCTTGGAGTGAAATGAGAACTGTGAGGCGAGAGCAAAGAATACAGGTACTGTCTTACACACACATAACGAAATCGACAGGACACGGAAATCTTTACATTTTATACGGATGTCTTTATACACTCGTTTTAAGTACAAAGAATATACTTGTACCATAAGGAAAAATTCAGGGCCTGAAAGTTTGTTCTTTATGTGGATGTTCGCTATGTGCTTGCTAGACTGTAGCACATTCTGCGTCTGGGTTGTTTTGTTGTTGGTTTTTTTTTGGGGGTGTTGTTGTTGTTTTGTTTGGTAATGCAGAGCCAGCGTGCATTGATAAAAGGAGGTTATCGTGGATCACGTGTCAGATGTTTTCTGGAAAGTATCACAAATGCCAGCTGATTGCTGTGAAGTATCACAAATGTCAGCTGTTTTCTGTGAAGTATCACAAATGTCAGCTGATTGCTGTGAAGTATCACAAATGTCAGCTGATTGCTGTGAAGTATCACAAATGTCAGCTGATTGCTGTGAAGTATCACAAATGTCAGCTGATTGCTGTGAAGTATCACAAATGTGAGCTGTGATTGCTGTGAAGAATCACGTGGTTTGCTGCTTGTTAAAGTGAAATGATGACAAGGAGGAGCAAAAACACCCGGGGGTGTGGGTTCGAGTCTCCTGTTGTTCTCGCGTCGCACGATGCATCGTGTCAGGTCAGAGCGCACTCGGCGTGTGCAGTTGGGATGCCATTTTTCGGATATAATGTTGATTCATGAAATGTCCGGAATTAAAAATGTGGGCTTTACCAAATATATTGATTGTTTCACATGTACTCGGTCATTTCCAACTAGCGATTGACCCATGAGTTTGTTTCATCCATACGCAAATTTCCACCTTAGGGTGCAACCTTTCTCGTATTTGAATGTTGGAAAATGCCTCTACTATTTCTTAGGGGTCAGTCTTTCGTGATGGTCAAAACAGTCATGAATGAGTCGGCACTAATTCATTGACTGTTCCTTGCATAGAAGAATGTGTATGTTGTCTCTTCTAAATCTCATGATTTAATCCCTTTCAGTGCCAGCTCCTGAATCCAAGCATACTGTACTCTGCGAGTGCCAAATCCTAAATGAGAAAAATAAGCAACCTTGCCCTATTGCGCAAAAAGGGCTAGTCGAAACTGTATTTATGAAGAGAATTATTTCCTGCCTGGATGAATAACAGAAAAATAAATGTGAACGGACTCTAGACTGGGATCAAATTAAAGAAGTTCTTATTTCGACGTTATTTTTTGTCTGATGAGGCTTTCAAGACGCATTGGTTTGTGAGTGGGAGAGACAGAAGAAAGAGGAGGTGGAGGGGTGAGAGAGAGAGGGGGGGGAGGAGGGGAAGAGAGAGAGA